TGTCATTGACATTTACATAAAGTTATATAAGATTAATCTGAGAGTTTTTTACCAAAAAGGAAATTTTTTTATAAAAAGGGAAATGATTTTCAATTTCGAGGCAATTCAGCAGGTGTTTTAATAACAAATTGAGAAATGATTTCCATAGAAAATCTCGTGACAAAATTTATAATAAATTTAAAATAAATGATCAACAAAAATGATCAACAAAATCGTTACTAGTTTTATAAAAAACACCCAATAATATCTTTTTATTGTTTTAAAGTATTTAAAATAGTTTTGTATTCGCTAACTATTACTGTTCAATAAAAATAAAAATAAAAGTATTTAAAATAGTAGATTTTCAAAAAATGTTTTTATGCCAATTATTTAATATTATTAATGATAAAAAAAGAAAACACTTCAAACAAATTTTTGCTATATACTTTTTTTAAAGTTAACAATATTTTAAAAACTTTTTAATTTATGTTATATATGAATAATATGATTATATAATAAGAAATTGTAAAAAAAAATTTTTATGAAATTAAAAAATATTAAAAATAAAGTTAAAAATGGAATCAAAAAATACTAAACTAAAGAAAATTATTAAATAAAGTAAGATAAATTTTTAAAAAATACCATAAAAATAAATACTAGTAGAAACCTGAAATTATTAAAATGAAACAAATAAAACAAAAAGAAAAAAAAAGTACTAAAAAGAATTAAAATTAAATATTAAATAAAAATGAAATTAAAGAAATACCAAGACTAAAAACTAACAATATATTTAAGAAAATAATTATAAAGATAAAATATATTAATTATATTAATTAAACAAAGAAATACAGTACTATAAAATAAAATAAAAATTAAAAAAAAGCTGAATCATATACTAAGAATAAAATTAAAAAAAACTATGATAGAATCCTAAATAGCATAGTAAATTAAGCAAATTCTATATACTAGTAAAGCTCCTCATGAGCCCGAGCCAGCTTGCAAGCTAAGCCATACTTAAATTGGCTTGATGCTTGACAAGCCAGCTCGAAAAAGCTTGAGTTGGCTTGCCTACAAAGTAATAAAATAAAAATTAATCATATGACTTCCTGATATTCTGATTTGCCGATGATTGATAATCAGCTTTTTGTATAAAAAAATAATTTTTTTTTTTTTACCGATCTTTTTAAATAATAATTTATTCATTATTATTATTTAAAAAGAAGACGGAAATTTAAGTTAAGGGAAGGGTACTTGGTTTTTTTTTAATTTGGGAACGTTACTAATGTTCCCTTTCTTTTTTTCTTTAGGGTTATTATTCTAGACATGAATTCCGTCAAAATGAAGCAAGAACAGCCTTTCCTTGGAGTTATGCGGTGAGTAGTGTAATGTATGGACAGTATGGTTATGAAATTGCATTATGGAACAATACTAACGCAAATTTTTTTTTATTTTTAGTTCTTCAGCCTTTCTTCGGTAAGTAGTGTAATGTATAGATAGTATGGTGCATTATGGAACCCCGCTAACACATTTTTTTTTTGTTTTTCAGGTTTCTGGCTAGTGGAATAATTAACCTTTACTCTCTCACGAGGATTTTTTGGATATAAATTCGGAGCACCTTCACCTTTCTTATAATCAGCAAGAATTGCCTCACATAGGTTGGTATAGTTTGGGGAGTGTATGGTTGTATAATGGCATTTGAAACAATACTAATGCCATTTTTTTTTATTTTTTTAGGTTCCCGGCTATGGAATATGCGGTTGGTGAGTGTGTGGCTGTGCAATGGTGTTATAAAACATCATTAATGCCATTTCTCTTTTTTTTTTTAGATAAAACTCGGCTTGAGCCAGGATTCCAAAAAATTTTCGGTAACGTGACTTTGTACTACTAACCTAAAAATAGTAGATATATTGATGAAAAGTAATATTTTTCACAGTTCTTACTTCTCACCCAACTGTTTTGTATTTGCCAGTAATTTCACCTTGAAATATATAATATTCTTTTTTATTATAGTTTATTCTATTCTATTTTCTTAACCATATTGTGTTTTATTTTGTTGTGAAATAAAAACGCGTTTTTTATATTAAATACAAAATTTATTTACAACCTTGGGAGTATAAAGGTGAACTACCAAGTTTGAATAAGAACAAGACTTTTCCATTTAATACATTATAAAAATTATCTTTACATTACTATTACTTATTGTTAAATTTCTAAAATAATAAATAATTTATTCACTTATTTTAATAAAAAAAATTTTTATAAAGTGAAAAGGACTATACTTGATAAGAATTAAACGTTTCTTTTTTTTATAAAATTACACTTATTTTTTTTCTTAAAAAAAGCTTCGAAAATTTTTCTAAGATAATGTTGTACAAAATAAATCTGACCAATAAAACTCGCCAAGTCACGTTACCGAAAATTTTTTGGTGGTGTTCTTTGGGGTAGTTGGATTTATTATGGCTTGGCTTAGCTCAAAAAGCTTGAGCCAATATTTGCCGTGGCTCAGTTCATTGCAGACTCAGCTGAGCTTGAGCTATGCCCTGGCTCAGCTCAAGCCATCTCATGCGGAGCTTTAACTACAAGAAAACCATTTATTTTATAATATCCATTAAAAAAAAAAAAATTTCAAGCCAAAATTCTTGATACCCTCATTAAAAAAAAACTATTTTCAATAAAATTTTCTATCGAGACTTCTAACAAAATTCTCTATCAAAAAATAAAAAACTTTTCAACCAACAATTCTCTAATGAAATTCTCAATCAAAAAAATATCCCCGATTAAGAAAAATTTCTAACGAAAATCTTCCATCAAACAACACATTTTCCCTATTAAAAAAAAGTTCTCAAAAGAATTTCTATCAAAAAAAAAAAACTTCCCTCCTATTAAAAAAAAATAAATTTTCCATCAAAAAAAAAACCTCCCCTGTTAAAAAATTTACTAACGACATCAGGAAATTTAAAGATCGATAAAATTATATAAATTTATAACTTTTATATAAAGTTAAATAATTTTTTATATAAAATTTATATATTTATAAAAATATATAAATAATAATATTTTTTAATATAAAAGTTACTTATTTTTTTATGTAAAATTGCATATTTATAAACCTATATAAAGAATATAATAATTCATAATTTTATTTTGAAGAATAAGTAGAAAATTACATAATTTTACATAAAAATGTATGCAATATTTTACATATTTTTAACTAGTTATTAATTTATAAAATTATTCTTACCAGCTGATATATCTGTTTACAAAATATGCATTATTATGGTCAAATCATTGAACAATATGTACAGTTTCTATCAGTACTTCAATTGGCACAATATAAAATTCATTAATAAATTTAATATATGGACATCCAAATCTCAAAAACTTGCTTTCAGTTTGGTATTTATAATCATACAAACAATAAACTCTTTCTCACCAAACCAAATTTTTTGATATATATTTCCCACATACTAAAGACACATTTTCGCCTTAGGGCATTGCTGAAAGACCTTTTACACTTCCTCTATACACGTTAAAGAGTTTCTTTCAAGGTTTCAAGCACTTTTTTAGAAATTTAATTACCAACTTTTTTCTTCGCTTGTTGCACTATACTCAAACACTTTTCTTTAACTGATAACTCAAATAAATTTTTTAATATATTACACCTAGTCAAGAAAAAATTTCTCCCCTCTTCCGACATTATAGCTCTATCCAAAACCTTGCAAAAAATCGTAGAAAAAAATTTTCTTATTGCTGTCCAATCAGAGAAATTCCACGTGAGAAACTGGATACACGCAGTTCAACAAAGTGTACGTTGTAAAACATACTTAAAATTCCACAAACAAAGTTTCCGAAGAAAAAAATTTGTATCTCAATTTTACTCAGCCAATTACAAAAAGTCATACCTAGCAAACAGTTCAGGAAAATTTACGGGAAAAATTACTCAATCGCATTCCAAAGATCTGCTCCTTCATAATCGTATCACTAAATATGTTAAATTCTCATACAAAAAATACAGATTTTATTTTAACTATACTTCCCAGCGTAATTAATTTAATTACGCCATTATACTCGACACAATTTACGGTTATAGATTTTAAAAAATTAAATTGAGTTGGCGTAGTATATCATATGATATACATGTAAGTTTCAAATTTTCTATTTATGATGCTGATCTACTGATCTGATCGGTTGATAAATTCGATCTTTTTTTTAAAATTATTCTTTTTAAATAAAATAATAAATTACATTTAATATTAATAATATAACCAAATTAGATTTGAACTTCGGCCAGAAATTCCAGGATTGTAAGTTAGACTGGAGAGTATTTGGTTCTTTAATTTGAGAATGTTACTAACATTCTTATCTTTTTTTTCTTTAGGGACATTCTTCTGGTTGTGGATTCCGTTGGAATGAAGTAAAGACGGCCTTCTGGACTTATATTTCAGCAAAATTAGGTAAGCTGAGTTTGTTCTTTATTGTTTTTATCTGGAAACGTTATTGACGTTCCTTTTTTTTATATTTTTTAGGTTTTTGGCCCCTCAGAGTAGTGTAATATATGATAAGAGGAGTTTACGTGAATGTATGGTTATGAAATGGCATTATGAAACAAAACTAACGCCATTTTTCTTTTATTTTTTAGATTTTCAGAATTCTCTTGAAGTGGAATATGGTAAGTGTTGTTTGGGTGGATAGTTGTGTAATGGCATTATGAAACAACAACTAACGGCATTCTTCTTGCATTTTTTAGATTTCTGGCTTTCTCTTGAAATGGAGTGTGCAGTATTTTATTTTCAGGTAAAGATGTGTTGCTGACTGTTACGTATTTTAATCTATAAAGAAACATACTAACTTCTCTTTTATTTTTTTTCCTTTAGGCTAAGATGAACTGGACTTTGAATGTAAATTAAAGAGAGGGGAACTATTTCTTAATATTTTTTCAGGTTGCCAGACTTTTGAATGAACCAAAACCTTCGAGAGAAGATTGAAGCAGGCAGATGATGGCAAAACCAATAACAAGAAAGGTTGAATTCAAGCCCAGGTACCCGAAGGACATGCGAGATCAAAAGAAATTTTTGTAGGATATGTAATTCATGTTAAGAAGGCGTAGTAATAAGTAGGAAATTTATAACATTGTTGATAAAATTAGGTCCAACTAAATTAGCTATAGAATTTTTACTCATTTTTTACATCCATGTATATATAATTTTTATTTTTATTCTTTATATTTTTTAGTATGATAGCATATCATAAAGTGAGACGTACTGTTTAGATAATGATGTAGATATTAATGACGTAAATATTCAAGAGTCTGCCGAATAATTTAATGGATGATCTGCAACACACTAAATTATCTGGCAGTTACTAAACTTTTAAAGCTTAATTTCAGTTAGACTTTAGTGTAACTTTATAGACTAAAAGTTTAAATATGACCATTATTAACTGATCGTGTTTATATTTTTCTTTTTTTTTTACTTCATAAAAGTTTTACTGCTTGTATATATATTAATATTCTTCAATATAATCTCTTTAATTTATATATCATAATATATAATAAATTTTTACATGGCTAGTCGAAATCAAGGTCGAGGCAGAAGTAGAGGCCAAAGTTGAAATAAAAATTCCAGTAAAGTTCAGTGTAAAGGTCATAGTCAAAGTAAAAATCCTGATTTAATAGAGGTAGTGGATAAAACAATAAATGATGAGACTTTGAATGATAAACATAAAAGGTCAATAGCATCAAGTTCAGATGATAGTAGTAAGGATGAGAAAACCAAAAAGAAAAATCATCATGATTACCATTATTAGAGCGAAATAATACTGGACCTTTTCATTTGTCACTTTCTACTCCTACTTTACAAAAAAATACATTAATTTTCACTCCAAAATCAACTTCTTTCCCTAAGTTACTTTTTTCATCAATTCAATGTAAAAATACTACTAAAAAAACTTTAATTCATTATGTTCTAATGATAAGTTTGAAGAGAATGATGGTAACCAAACTGATGATTCCAACAAATCTTCTCAAGTTTCTGCAAATGAAAATGATTCAACCTTATTACACACAAATACAAGTATTTTTATTTACAACTCTTTATTTTTTTTATATTTGTGTATATGTATTATATTAGAAATTAATTTTTTTAGCATCAGATTCTCGCATATTAACGAAAATCCTTGAAGTTGTGATGCAGAACCAAAAAGATCTTAAATTTCTATCAACCAAGGTAACGGAATTAGAAAATGATAACAAAACTTTCCAAAAAGAATTAAGTGAAATTAAAGATGCTATTGGGTCAAGTGATAAAGCAGTATCATCAAACAAAAAAGGGCACGGTTGGATTGATGTAAGTAATACTAAATGATTATCATAATGCATATATGTTTTCTCATTAATAAACATTTTATTCGTTAGGTTTATATTTCATATATTACTGAAGACTATACAAATATCCAACAAAAGAACAAGTTAAAAAGGCTTCCTTGCGTATATTAACAAAATTTCAAAAATTAAACTAATAATGATATCTAACGAGTGGGATTTATTATTTGAGAACGGTATACTTTCAGCAGTAAGTTATCTATTTATAAGTTAAGTTGGTCTGAATGAAAATTCAAGTGGAATCAAAATAGAAAAGAAGTCTATTGTAATCAACTTCAGGTATCTTATTTAATATTTTAATAAATATTGTATTTTGAATTTGCGCTTAATTCTTAACTTATTTCATTATTGTTATATTATCATAGAATGGTATGCAGAAAGATTAGGTATAATAGAAAATTATTATATAAGAATATATAGAAAAATATATAGTGGTGCTAATTAAATTTGTATTTTTAAATAAAATTATTAGCGATTTTATATATTTTTAAATAAAAATAGGATTAATTTTATATTCACCAGTGGTTAATTTAAAATTAATTCACCAGGGGTGAATTTACCTCTGGTGAAATTCACCAGTAATATGATAATTTTAGTTTTATATTAATTTTGTTTGTATTACGTTTTACAATTTCATACACGTAAATAAAAATTTTTTTATGAATTTTTTTAAACTGTAACTTTTTTTTCCAAACATACTATTAAACCCATACAACTCAATTTCATAAATTAGAAATGAAATTTATAGAGAAATTTGTGTTTTTATAACACTACTAACTGTTTAACTCCTAAAGTTTTATATTTTTTATTTAATAACTTTAGAG